ATTTTAATATTTGTAAAAGTTGCAATAGAGGCAAAAATTCTTGAAGGATATAAATTCGGTTAAAATTAAACACTGTTTCTGCGATTTTTGATGCCCTGACGGATAAAAATGCTCCTCACAGCAAGGAATCTGATTAATTCAGACAGCAGGCCGGGCCTAATGCCGGGCTGTATCCCCGGAATGGGGTCGAGGGGCTTTATACACTGACTTGTTCGTTATCCCTTTGTTTTTATTGCCCGATGCTATTTTCTACCTACGACTTTACAGAACAACATTTTGCCGACTCTTCTGAGTTTGTGTTTCAAATATATATAAAAATGTTTCTAATTCTCTAAGACAATACAAGAGTCTTCTTTTTCGAGCAAATTAAACAAGAACCAATTTAAGTCGGGTAATAAGTTCTTTTTTTTAGGTTTGTAATTAGCAAAAACTAATTACGTGGTCTGATTTGCAGTCATTTACTGAATCACATTGACCGATTTGTTCAAAATATTCATTCTTCGTTCAGGGAAACAAACTGCTCTAGTGAGGCCTTAAAGTGCTGTTTAAAAAGTAAAATCTAAAATCCAAGCTTTCTCCGATCAACGGCATCATCAGGGATGAGAAAATATTGCGCGCGCGCCAACTTACCTATCCGAACTTTTACGCTACACTAATGGTCCACGATTACTTCGTTCCAGTTTCCAGAATTTTCTAGCCGTGCCCAGGACTAAAGACGTATGGTGATAGGGCTTTTTCCGCAGCTGCTCCTAGGTTATGGAACAATAGCCCCCTGAACTCAGGGGTGTTACATCTGTCGACCAGTTCAGGACCCAGTTGAAGACATACTTATTTAAGTTAGCCTACGATGTTTGATTTTAGTAGCTTTATTTAGTTTGTGTTTTATCTTTTTAATAGTTTTTAACTCTAGTTTCTTACCAAATTATTGTACAGCGCTTTGAGCAATTAGTGGATACTGCGCTATATAAGTGTCTATTATTATTATTATTATTATTATTATTAGAAGGTGTAGGGTGAAAGGTGTAAATGATGTGACGTATGTATCAAAGCTATAGAAATAAACTCTGAACGGAATGGAATGTCTCTAGACAAAAGACCTCTAAAAGTGCTTAAGAATGCTAAGGCGCGTTTTTCTTATCAAAATTCAACTATTCCGCTCGTTTTTTAGGTTCGTCATTCGTTTTTCAAGGTTGACGTTCGTTTTTTTTGTTAATTCAAAATTTGTTTTTCAAGTTTGACGTTTGTTTATTCAATTGAGCATTCGTTTTTCAACTTGGACGTTCGTTTTATTCAATTCAACATTTACTTTTTGTTCGACATAGAAAGTGGTCAACTAGAAGAGAATACGTGGTATGCCCCATCACTGCTGGGAGGAGGGTGGGCGAGAACTGCTATCGAGGATGCCGAGACCTAAACTTTACCAGAACTGGCTGAATAATGAAGGAAGCTGCTGTTTAAACCGAGGGACAAGGTCTGTGGGTATGCCGTGTATTCCCCTGCGCCACGCTGAGAATTTTAGGAATTAGGCTTTTTTTGCGTGTTTTCCATAGTGAGAATAGTCCCACACTTCGCCTTCAACTTAACGCTTTCGAACGTGAGCAATGGAGGCAGGGTCACTGTGGAAGATTCCACCCCATGTAAGGGAATCCGGATTGCAGAATCCGAGAGATTTTTGCTCATGGAATCCGGAATACAGCTCAAGGAATCCGGAATCCGACTAACCATCAGAATCCGGAATGAAAGTTCCACTGGTAAAGTCCGGAATCCAATACCTGGAATCCGAAATCCAGGGCGAAGAATCCAGAATCCAAGACTGTCTTAGGCCCTGTTCACACTTATCCGTATTCTTTTGAAAACGCAACTTTTTTTCCTCCGTTTTCAAAACATGTCGCGTCCACTCGTAGCGCTTTCGCATCGTTTTCGCCCGTCCGTATATGATGAATTGATTTGAAAACGATAACTTACCCTACTGCGCATGCTTGACGCATACGTGTTTGCTATTACGGAGCCCGTGAAATGATAAATTGGCGTCATCTTTGAATTTCTTTGGTGTGGATTTATATTGTGATGACGTTCTTCAAAATCACAGAAATTGTAAAAGACAAGAAAGGGAAGCCCCGTTAAGTTCCTAATATTGCGCAGAGTGGATTGGAACTGATAGTGTGTCCTCAGCGTTTTCGAAAAGTTCCGTTCGTCTGTCCACACGTGCACGTGAAAACAGCGTTTCCAAAACGTTCCCCTCAGGAAAGCGTTTTCATTCATTGACCTGAAAAGTTCCGTTTTCATTCATTGACCTGTGGACGGAAGCCCTATCCGTAAAGAGAAAGTTGCATTTTCCAATGAAAATGAATACGTGTGGACAGGGCCTTAGATTCCCTTACATGGGGTGGGAGATTCTTCAGAGAAGGGTACAGCTTAGTTAAAGGGGCTCTCTCACTAAATTTAGCCAAAGCTAAGGACCTCTCGCTTGTCTCGCACAGAAGGCCGCGTACGAAATAACAGCCATTAAGCCACGCTTACATTCAATTTCCGTTTTTCTTTGGGGCGCAATCGGTCTATTACCCATCAACCTCGCTTCCATGCTCTTTTATATACGGTATCTGTTAGAACGAATGCGTGTGATCACAGGCTCAACTAAAGGTTTTGATATCTTAAACAGAAACTCAAGAGAAAAATATAAGATCATAATTCCACAAACAATGAAAACAAATATATATTTAAATCTTTTATTAATGTCCCCTGGGTCTCGCTATCAAGTTGATTTCTTTTTTTGGTGTCGACATTTCAACATTTTGAATGCTGAAAGTTCATATTTGCCTCACACATCACATATTGGATCTACAGTGCAATCTCGATTTCTCGAACTCTAGGTGTTTCGAAACCCCGAATAATTCGAACTGAACCTAACTTTCTTTACCAGCCACACAGTGTAATTTTACCTCCGATTTTTCAAACCTCCCCATCATTCGAACCAATTTGATTTTCCCAATGTTGTCCGATAAATCGGGATTCCACTGTATACCTTGCTCGAGGGTGGGTCCTTTCAACTGTTAAAATATTTTACCTACAGGTTCATGTTGGCGGTCCTTCCAACGTTCATTTGCGTGTTTTCCAGTCTCTGCCAGGTGATGGATCACCTCCTAAATTATCTGCTATCAAGACAGGAATGACCAAGGACGATCCCATCAACTATTTTGTCTAGAGTCCACACAAGTTCCACATCAAGACAAAATTCAACCTCGCACCTAGCTTTTTTTACTCGCTAACTACGTCGTTTATGACGCAGTTGATGAAAAACCTCGTTCCCGGGGTCCTTCTTTTTGTCTTCTGTGTACGACTCAAGCCTGACGTAAATGAAAAAGAGAGATCCTGGGAATAAGGCTAGCTCACGAAAACGGGGTTAGACAAAAAATATCAGTGACTAGTGATGTAAGCATTTTACAATAATGTTACGTTAAAGTAAAAAGTAAGAAACTATTTTTTGCTTTTGTTTGATCGTTTGCGAAGACTTCTTAGAACTTAATTAACTGACTGAAGGGATAGAACCACCTTGTGTCTACTTCATGGTTGTAAGTAAAGCTTTGCGTTGTCTGGAAAATGTATCACCTTCAAGCCACAGCAAAAGGGTTTTTCACTGTACATGCAGGATCGCCACAAAAACAATTTCGAAGTTACATTCCACACATTTTGTCATTTTGTCTGTCCCCTGAATGGATTAAGTTTCAATTGATACACAACTGATCATATCTGTTCAGTAGCTAATAAGAAAAAAGGGGAGGAGAAAAATTATTTTTCGTTTTTAAGAAAAAAAATGAAGCAATCAACCAAACGAGTCTGATAGGATATGAAACGATAATTTTCCAAGTTGATACTGTGACAAGACCATTGGCAAATCAACATCAAGGACTTTTGTTAGCTAAAAAGGGGCAGCATTCACCAACTCCGGCAGTATGGCTATTCCTTCTTAACAAACTTAATGAAAAAACAATGCCAGTTAGCTTTTCGGCTTTAGAAATGAGCGTTTTGGTGACTAAACAAGAAGAATTAGCTATTATTCCTTGCTGTTAAAGACCTTGTAACGTTCAGTCTTCGGTACAGGGGATGAAGAGTATGTTTATTATGTATGCATTTTGCGACTAAACACCCACAGCATGTTTGCTGTTTCAGGAGGTACTAGGAAAAGGATTCACCCTTCCAAGACATGAGGTAGAGATGCCCATTGTTAAGAACCATTGGTCTCGGTAGTTTCAGGGCTTGAAGTGAAAAGTCCTATCCGGTTGACCGGGATGGGTAGGCTTTTTTTCCTGGAAAAATATCTTTTTAAGCTTACTTGCCCAATAGGCAAGGGTCCAGACAGGTCATCTTGTAACTAAATTATTAACTAAGACAAGCCACCAATATCTCCGGGAAAACAAAACGTGAGAGCTGTTGTAAGAACAAGCTGTAAATCAAGTTTTTTTAGCCTTGTATTGTAGACTCATAATCCCCTTAGGTTAAGGTAATACGACCTTTAATTTGTTTTCACACGACGTCACGGCGGCCATATTGAAGGAGTAGACACTAAAAATTATATTTGCAGGAAAATTAAACTTTTTTCCGAAGGAAAATCGTTTTATTGTTTTACTCCTCCAACATGGCCGCCGGGCACATACTCTATATTTATCAGCTTTCATAGACTCTGTCAGTTTTCAATCCAACTGCGAAGCCGGCGGCATATTGAGATTGATTAGATGCCTCATGGTGGGTCTGCCGTGAGGACTGTTCCAGGGATGATCAATCTCTCCCATGTGGCAAACTACCTTCTTCATTTGAGCCTGGTTAAGTGCAGTTCCAACCATAATGGACATGCGACATGCACGACTTGCAAACATTTTCCTCACTCTATAAAGGTCTACACATCACGCCGGGAGAACCACTCAGCATGAAAATCAAGTCTTCAATGTCCTCGACACCAAACGTCCAGTTCTTGCTAATAGGCAGTGAAACCAGTTTGACCTTTTTCATTGCCTCGGCATTGTGATCAACCTCAAAATAAAATCCGTTCGTTTGAAATATTTCCACGTTGTCCATAAGGATAGCGGTCGCTTCAAGTTTCTAAGGAACAGTAAGACGTTGGGATTTAATTGTTGTGTTCCTCTGTTGATCCTCAAAGTTAATTTCTCATCTGAAGCATGCTGGTCGATTATGAACAAATCATTGTCCAGTTTTGGGATGATAAAACCCAGATTAAATTGATCCAAAACTTCCATACCCTTGAACATATCTTTACTAATATTTTTCGTTAGTTCTTTCTCAGCACTGGAATTGCTCTCTGGTGCTATCTTCGCTCTAAACGAACGAGCTTCTCCTTCACCTGTTTTCTGTCTCGTTTGAGCCAAAACAACGCTTTTAAGTTTATTCATACTGAAACTCACTGTTGTTTCCTTTCTGTTCCTAACCATCTCTGATACCTGAGTTTGTTTTTCGGTGTTGCCAAGTTTAGGAAGAACCAGTATTGTTGTGCAAGATGCGTTACTTGAATAATCTTTAGCCTGGCCTAAAAGTGTTTGATTAGTTTTATCGAAACGCTCTGAATCTATTTCTTGCTGGACGTCTTTCTGAGAATTAAGTTCGTCATCATCAGATTCACTTACAGAAATGATATCATCCTTAACTTCAACAACTTCAATGTCAGTTTTTTTTGCTATCACCAATATTTTCAGATCTTTGAGACTTAGCAACAGCATAAACATGCCCACCACCTGTTTCTACAGACTCTTTGCTTTCCAGCCTAGACTACGAGTAGTCCTCCATTTTTCCTCATGGGGGACTACTGGTAGTCTAGCTATTTCCAGCCTGGAAGCTTGTTTATCCCGTGTGAATACGCTGCTAAGCTTCACCTGCTTACAGCTAGGCCCATTTGGTTTCTCAACCACATCTTGGTCAACTGATGAAAACTTCCTCTTGAAACTGCTAAGCGATGGAAATTTCCCTTTCTCGACATGCGTCCTAATGTTCCGGGTACAACTGAAGCAGGTAGATCTGATACCTTTTCATCTTGCTTGATCTCAGAACATTGAAGGTTTTCATTTTCATGGGAGTCGCCAGTGCAGTTTCTAGGAACGAACGTAGAGGCTGACAGTTTTATTTTTTAAATATATGGTTGACGTTTAAAGAAATGAGTCCTGAGCAGTGTGACTAGTTCTGAACTGCTTTAGACTCGATTACCAAACGCTGTTGCGGAAAGGAGCCCTTTCTCGGAGAGGAACATGTTCAACGTCGAACCCTCGAGATTCGAGCCTAGAACAACTAATGCCCTGCTGTACGGGACCTTTAACAAACGTCTTGGCCCGGGGAGCGGGAAAAATAGCGGGGTTTTAACACCAGGCCAATGCTTAATTCCCCGCTAAGTCCCGGGGGTCGGGGGTCGGGGGGGTTGAGTTTCAATAACGTGGCGTGCAAATGACGTCAGAGTGACTGAATTGCAATTTTTGTCTGAGTTTTGCCATTTTTCTCATTTTAACGACAAAGGTCAGACAAAAGTGAGGAATCCGCTAAATATTAATTTCAGTTTGTTTGTCTGAGTTTCGAGTCTTTAAATAGTAACTGCCTGCAGCGCTATTGACTGATGCATAAGCGCTAGTGAAAAGCGGTTTGAGAACGTATGAACTGCTTCGATAATGTGTAATTGTGCCTATGATAGGCAGTATAAACTGAGTCGGTTGCAAAGTAGCCTGCAGCATGTTCAGTTTATTGGACTATATATAGGAGTACAAGTTGTAAAAATTTATCTGTTTCTTTGCTGCTCCGTATAATTTAATTATCTTGTTTAATATTATTTCGTTTTCAAATGAGCTTTCAGTTGTGACGTTAATCAGTCAATTTCCTTTCATAGAGAGGGAGATAGGGTTAACGAACCTGTCGATCCGAATCGATCCGTACGTGCTAATGAGTCGGTAAAAAAAGCATTAACAATTCCTCGTGTTTTTTTATTTTCCTACACGTCTACTTTCTTTGGTAAGCATTAACTTAAGATACCTTTACAAAAGCTCACCAGATTATATCACTTAAGGCTCCAGCGGAAGTACTGGCTTTGAATGTTTATTTTAACTTAAAGATTCTAATCGGTAGTTCTTGAGCGTGACCTGGTGATCAAAAACAAAACTTTCTTCCGCATTGCATGAAACTAATCATTTACATTTACGTCATACATCACGCCACCAATCAGTTGTGTAATAAACAAAATATAAATCTTGAGTTATCTCGCTTTTCTATCAGATCAGTCTTTGTTGAGAAATTATCTGACGGAATCTGGCTAAAGAAATTTCTTGAGAACATGTCACAGGACGCTAAAGATGTTGTACCAGGTGGACTGAGTCCGCTGAAACCGGCCGATGCAGAAGTGCAAAAGATTTGCGATCAGGTATCAGTTTAAGCTAGCATGTGAGGCAGCTCCCTCATGATATATTATTTCTTTCTCCGCTTAACTTCGAAATGCCTTGTTTGGCGATAGCTGACAACCCGCGTAACCCACGGCTGGAAAGCGTGCGTAACGATCGAGCTTCAAGGCAATACGCGACCTTTCAAAGCATATATAAGGACTGATTTCTAATGCGAAAAAAAGATATAGAAAGTTATTTAACCTAGAAATATCCGTTATATATGTTCCTTGTTTCTCCATGTCGTTTTCTTCAGCGGTTGGTTTGAGCAAAATATGAGAGCACGCGTCAAATTGCCACCCGCGAGAAAGGTGACACTCGGAGGGAAGACAGAAACATTACATTTCCGGCTTTGTAAACAAACGATGAACATGCAGCTTAAATATATATTGCCAGTATAATTGATGCGATAGAAGTTCATTTGGTTGCAATCATGATAACAATTATTGTTCTAAACCCTACTCGCACGACTTTTGTGATTAAAAACGAAGAAAACAAGGGAAAAAAATGAGTGGAAGGCTTTTAGCCGGAATATTATTGTTGCACAGTAGAACCTCGATATAACGAACGGCCTATTAGGACGGGCAAGACGAAGTTTCATTATATCGAGGTTCTTTTAATTCATATGGTTTGCTATTACTGGGGTAAAGAACAACTGTCGTTATACCGATCGACGTTATATCGAGGTTCCACTTTAAATAGGTAGATGGTACCATCAGAGCAGAGGTGGGGAAGGTATAGTTAGGGCGTATGTAACCGGGGTTTTACGGTATTTATTATTTCGAACCTCTTTACTAAAGGGGGGTGAAAAATAACTTCAACTTGTCTCTCCAACAGGTGAAGCCCCAAGCAGAGGAAATGGCAGGGCAAGTCTTTCAAGAATTTAAAGCCATATCATATAAGACTCAAGTTGTAGCTGGAAAAAATTACTTCATTAAGGTTAGCCAAGAACGTTCCAAGTAACTATGTACGCGCCCATAGTCATTATGACATCAACGAAAGAGTGGGGAGTGGGGTAGGGGAAATGTAAAGCATTGCGTTTGCCAATTATTATTCAAGTATGTAATGATTCCTGAGTTAACTCAAGCGTTGTCTGTTTCCGTAATCACTCATAATATTCTCATAACACGGCTTTCCACTCAAACGGTCTGCCAGGAACCGGTGTATTAGCCATCATCCTCGCTTTTATCCTCTTTTATATAATTGTCTGTTAGAACCAATGCGTGTGATCATTAAACTTAAACTGAAACTCAAGAGTTATATTGGATCAAAATTCCACAATCAATAAAAAGAAATAACATTTGTTAGATTAGATTAGTGTCCCCTGGGTTTCGCTATCAAATCGATTTCTTCTGTGTATCGACATTTTAACATTTTCAATGCTGAAAGTTCATAATTGACTCACACATTACATATGGGATCTACAGTGCAATCTCGATTTCTGGAACACTGGGTGTTTCGAAATCCCCGATAATTCGAACTAAACCTAACTTTCTTTATCAGCCACACAGCGTAATTTTACCTCCGATTTTTCAAACCTCCCCAACATTCGAACCAGTTTGATTTTCCCAATGTTTTCCGATGAATCAGGGTTCCACTGTATACCTTACTCGAGGGTGGGTCCTTTAAACTGTTAAAATATTCTACCTACAGGTTCATGTTGGCGGTCCTTCCTACGTTCATTTGCGCGTTTTGCAGTCTCTGCCAGGTGATGGATCAACTCTTACATTATCTGCTATCAAGACAGGAATGACCAAGGACGATCCCATCAACTATTTTGAGTAGAGTCCACACAAGTTCTACATCAAGACAAAATTCAACCTCGCACCTAGGGTTTTTTACTCGCTAAGTACGTCATGCTACGTCATTAATGACGCAGTTGACGAAAAACCTTGTTCCCAGGGTCCTTCTTTTTGTCTTCTGTGTACGACTCAAGAGTGACGTAAATGACGAAAGAAAGATCCTGGGAACAAAGATAGCTTACGAAAACGAGGTTGGACAAAAATATCAGTGACTAGTGATGTAAGCATTTTGCAATGATGTTAAAATAAAAAGAAAAAATATTTTTTGTTTTGTTTGATCGTTTGCAAAGACTTCTTAGAACTTAAATTAACTGACTGAAGGGATAGATTAAACACCTTGTGTCTACTTGCTGGTTGTAAGTAAAGCTTTGGAATGCCAGGAAAATGTATCACCTTCAAGCCACAGCAAAGTGTATTTTCACTGTACATGCATACAGGATCGCCACGGTAAAAATTTCGAGGTTACATTCCACACATTTTGTCGAAATTACGGTGCGCGCGTTTACTCAGAATGTCTCCTGACTGGATTAAGTTTGATACACACCTGATCATATCTGTTCAGTTGCTAATAAGAAAAAGGAAAGTAGAAAAGTATTCTTACGTTTTTAAGAAAAAAAAAAGCAACAATGAACAAAACGAGTCTGACAGGATATGAAACATTAATTTTCCAAGTTCACAGCTATTTCGAGAAAGGTTGCGGAAAAAGTGCACGCGACAATCCCGAAAGGTATTATGGGTGGTTTTGAACCCGCTCAATATGTCAAATGCAGGCGACTTTTCCTTGAATTGAATTCTTAAGGATTTTATTCAAGTTAAAAAAAAGAAGGAAAATTCGTTGTCGTATGTCCACGTCCTCCATAAAACGTGAAATTAGGAGGTTTCAGGTCGTAGTCGTGCAGTGGACGTCAAAGAAATGTACTAAAAAGAGTGATGCACGCGAAGAGCTGTTGTTTTGATCATTAAATCTATTGTTTTTTGAAGTTGTCGTCGTCGTCGTCGTAGTTGCTTAAGTTCCCTAATAATTTAGGTTACAAGATGACGTGTCTGGTCCCTTGCCTATTGGTCAACTAATGAAAACTTCCTCTTGAAACTGCTAAGCGATGGAAATTTCCCTTTCTCAACATGCGTCCTTGTTCGTACAACTGAAGCAGGTAGATCTGATACCTTTACATCTTGCTTGATCTCAGAGCATTGAAGGTTTTCATTTTCATGGGAGTCGCCATTGCAATTTCTAGGAACGAACGTAGAGGCTGACAGTTCCATTTTTTAAAATATCTGGTTGAATTTTATAGAAATGAGTCCCGAGCAGTGTGACTAGTTCTGAACAGCATTAGACTCGATTACCAAACGCTGTTTGGGAAAGGAGCCCGGGGGGGGCACTGCCACATATGGGCTATATAGGTATGTGCCGCTGTGAAGGGTATGGTTTTCAAGCAGTTTACTCTAGGATAGGGTATATAAATCAGAGCGTTTGGGTCTAGAATAGGGTATCATTTTTCAGGAAACTGATCTGTTGGGTGAAGATTTTATCTAGACTAGGGAAACAGCTACTCTAGGATAGGGGGGATTTGGGGAGTTTACTCTAGTATAGGGTAGCAAAATTCAGCTGAACTAGCTCTAGTATAGGTTAAGGGTTCCAGGGTCCCAGCGGCACATCCCCACCCAGAAATTCCTAAAGTACCCCCCCCCCCCCGGGGAAAGGAGCCCTTTCTCGGAGAGGAACAAGTACAACGCCGAACGTACTCTAGAGATTCGAGCCTCAAACAACTAATGCCCTGCTGTACGGGGCCTTTAACAAACGTCTTGGCCCGGGGAGCGGGAAGAATAGCGGAATAGCGGGGTTTTAACACCAGGCCAATGCTTAATTCCCCGCTAAGTGTCGGGGGTCGCGGAGAAGGGGGGGGGGGTGAGTTTCAATAGCGTAGCACGCGAATGACGTCAGAGTGACTGATTTGCAATTTTTGTCTGAGTTTAAAGCGAGATTTTAACGGATTTCCGGATCCTGCAATTGCAGCGGATGGAGGATTCATCTATTTTTTGGGCCCGGATTTTGGACTTTGCGAATAATTCAAATATTTTTGCCTGGATTTCGGATTCAGGGCGAAAATGGAAGGGCGGATTTGGTTAATAAATCATAACGGATCGGCGGATTTGCATACCCCTATTCACCCCCCTGGTCATACATCACGCTACCAATCAGTTGTGTATTTTAATAAAATGAAAATCTTGAGTTATCTCGCTTTTCTATCATTCTTTGTTGGGAAATTATCTGACGGAATCCGGCTGAAGAAATTTCGTTACAACATGTCGCAGGACGGTGGACTGAGTCAGCTGAAACCGGCCGATGCAGAAGTCAGGTATCAGTTTAAGCTAGCATATGAGGCAGCTACCTCATGAAATCTTATTTCTTTCTCCGCTTAACTTTGAAATGTCTTGTTTGGCGATAGCGGACAACCCGAGTAACCCAAGCTGGAAAGCATGCGTAGCTATTATCGTGAGCTTAAGTCAATACGCGACCTTCGAAAGTATAAGGACTGATTTTGCATGCGATAAAAAGATACAGTAAGTTATATAATCTAGAAATAGCCGTTATATATATTTCCGTGTTTCTTCATGTCGTCAGTTGGTTTGAGCGAAATGCCAGATCGCGTCGAGAAAGGTGACACTCGGGGTTGCAACTGACGTCACGGCGGCCATGTTGGTGGTCAAGAACAAAAGCATTTCTCTCCTCTGGGAACTAAACTCTATTTTCACGTAAATTATTCGAGGAAATATTCTTTTGTTTTGACCCCCAACATGGCCGCCTTGTCACGTGGTTGCAAACCAAGAGTATTTCCAGCTTGGGCTGACGACTGTACCGAGAACCTTTCCGGAGCTTTGTAAACAAACAATGAACTAGAAATACGTAAATTGCAGGACCTCGCGAAGGACTTCGGGGGAACAGCAAGAAAAGCCGAGAAGAAAATTTGTCAATCAAAAATTGTGAGCTATGTATAGAAACATAACAAAACTGTTATACCTAAAATGAAAACTAAACGAAAAGAAAAAGAAAAAAAGAAGAAAAGAAAAGAATCGAGGTTCTGCCCAGAGTGGATCTCGGGGCCCTTCGGCGCACCGTGCGAAAGCTTTACCTCCAGGCCACGTGGAACACACAGGAAAAGGCAGCGAAATTTTATTATTAAAACCTTTGAGCCTTATTAAACATGAATTCAAAGATATTTTTCAGAAGAATGACTGCAGTTTGGACAGTGAAAACCCAACGTAAATGCATTTCATCGCATGTACATGTAAAGAATGGAAGCCCAACAGTCTAGGACGATACGGTACAAACTCGTCTGCGAGCAAAACGTGTTTTGTTACAGCGAGGTTCACTCATATGTTTATAAGGCTAATTATCCAAAATCGCTTCCATTTGGTCTTAAAGAACTTTAGCATTTGAAATTCATTGAGTGATGTTCTCTCTGCTCGCTGTTTGTTGCTGCCGTCTCCATCCATCTTTGCTGCTTGCTCCGTTGAATTTCAAGTGGGCTTTCTCGCTCCAGAGGATTTTTCGGTGTCAAATCGTCCCCTGCGAGGATTGACAATTCGACGTTCTTGCGTTTGCTGTTCTGTTTGCATGAGAAATGGCATGAGATTCACCCATAGTAAACACTGTTTTGCAGATGATGAAAAGACAGCTCTTCATGAGTGCTTTGAATGGGTCCTTGATGGGAATTCGAAATCGTTTTCAGTCGAATGTAGCCTCCCACGCAGGCGTTAGGGGAGCTCGTTTTTCATCCCTCCCCACAGGGGAGGGATGAAAAACGAGCTCCCCTAAAAACGCCTGCGTGGGAGGCTAAGTCGAATGTTGCCTAGAAACAAAAATGCGCAGTGACGTCAAACTACTGTATGACGTCATGGCGGACACCATCAGATATATACAAGTAAAGATGAGAGCTGCGAGTTTGCAGCTCGCCAGGACCCACGCACGGTCCACACACTGCGAGCGACATAAGAGACATAACATTGCTCGCGTCAATTTACCTTTTTCTTTCTCAAATTGTGCGACTTTTTTTGATGGAGAATGTTGGCTCTAAAATTACTATGGCGCCTGTCTATCTTACAGCGCGGAATTACAGAATTATCTCTTGCTATTGTGAATGAATTCTTAAATAATTGTTAAATACTGAATTAAAATACGCAAATGTAAATCACAAAGCTAATTTGTTCCTATTTGGCTTTTTTGTTTTTGTTTTTTTTTTCTATGACAACGTTATTGCAATTAGGTGTAATTGGGGTTTTACGGTATATATTTCACACCTCTTTGCTAACAAGATGAAAAACTATTAACCTCAACTTGTCTCCCCAACAGGTGAAGCTCCATACAGAGAAAAAGGTGGGGCAAGACTTTTCAGAATTTAAAGCCATATCATATAAAACTCAACCTGTTGCTGGAATAAATTACTTCATTAAGGTTAGTCAAAAACGTTCCACACCTACCCCTCCCCTAAGCCAACATTAACACTTGCTTCTCACGTAGAACAAAATGTTGGCTTAGGGGAGGGGTAGGTGGGCAGTTTCCCTGAAACGAATAATAATCTCGATGTGCGCTGGATCTGCAGTCAGTCCCACATTGTACTCATTATGACATTCACGGAAGAGTAGGGAGTGGGGGTAGGGGAAATGGCAAGCATTGTGTTTGCCAATTATTATTCAGTTACATAATGATTCCTGTTAGTATAGGTAATAGCATGATTGGAAGTGTATTTGGCATAAATACCACGCGTGACATTTCGAAATTGTTATACGTAATTTCACGAACCGTAAGGCGAGTGAAAATTGAGACAATTTTGAAATATCAGGAGCGGTATTTATGCCAAATATCACGTACAAATCAAGCTATTATTTGTTTACACTACTCAGACCCGCAAAAGGTTTGTAATTTTTGCATGCAGGTATTTCAAATTACGCCGAAATACCACTGCTCTAAGCAATCAAAAGCAGAAATTTCTCATGTATTGATATAATAAAGTTAAGTCAAGCGTTGTCTGTTTCCATAATCACTAATATTCTCATAACACAGCATTCCAGAGAAACGGTCTACCCGACCGATGCGGTATTAATTTCATAAATCTTATATAAAGGAGGATCAATAGTTTAAAATGAGGTTTAGTTAAGACATTGTCACCGGCTTAACTCAACAACAGCCCCACCCTTCGCGTCAACTTAACGCTTTCTGGCGTGAGCAATGGATGCAGGGCCACTTTGGAACTTTCACCCGATATAAGGGAATCCGGATTGCGGAATCCGAGAGATTTTTGCTCACGGAATCCGGAATACAGCTCAAGGAATCCGGATTCCGACTAACCAACGGAATCCGGAATCCGGAATCCAGTACCTTGGATTCCCTTTCATGGAGTGGAAGATTCTTTCAGGTACAGCTTAGTTAAAGAGGCTCTGTCACTAAATTCAGGCAGAGCTAAAGACCTTTCGCTGGTCTCGCACGGAAGGCCGAGCACGAAATAAGTGCTATTAAGCCACGCTAAGGCCCGTTTCGAACGTCGTGCTACTGTCGTGCCGAACTAAATTGATCGCCGAATCAAATTCGACTTTAGCACGGCAATAGCGAGATGTTTGAAACCAAGTCGTGGTTCTGCCGTGTAGCACGGCAAAGCTTTCCGTGCCACACGGCAGTAGTTCGACTTGGTTTCAATCGTCGCGCGACTCTGGCTACTGCCGTGCCGAACTCAATTCATAAATAATAAATACATTAGAATACATTTAAAAGTTTGCTAAACCGTTTCTTTATTTTTGCGTTTTGTTTTCGGCAACAGCCGTTCTCTTCAGTTCGACTGAATTAAATGCGACGTCTGAAACCAAGTCGTGCAAGCGTCGTGCTGCAGTCGAGGCAGCTTAGCAAGGCAGTAGCATGACGTTTGAAACAGGCCTTATATTCATTCAATTTCCGTTTTTTTTTCTTGAATCGGCGTATTAGCCATCAATCTCGCTTCCATACTCTTTTATATAATTATCTATTAGAACGAATGCGTGTCTGATCACAGGCTCAACTAAAGGTTTTCTGATGTCTTAAAACTCAAGAGTAACATTGGATCAAAATTCCACGAGCAATGAAAACCACTTACATTTATTTACATCTTTTATTAGGGTCTCCCTATCAAGTTGATTTTTTTTGCATCGACATTTTAACATTTTGAATGCTGAAACTTCATAATTGACTCACACATTACATATTGGATCTACAGTGCAATCTCGATTTCTCGAACTCTAGGTGTTTCGAAATCCCCGAACTAAACCTAACTTTCTTTACGAGCCACACAGTGTAATTTTACCTCCGATTTTTCAAACCTCCCCATCATTCGAACCAATTTGATTTTCCCAATGTTGTCCGATAATTCGGGTTTCCACTGTATACCTTACTCGAGGGTGGGTCCTTTAAACTGTTAAAATATTTTACCTACAGGTTCATGTTGGCGGTCCTTCCTACGTTCATTTGCGTGTTTTCCAGTCTCTGCCATGTGATGGATCAACTCTTTCATTAGATGCTATCGAGACAGGAATGACCAAGGACGATCCCATCAACTATTTTGGCTAG